CCCGCCACGGAGGTCACTGCTGCTGTGGCCGCAGTAGCAACAGCAACGGCAGTCACGGCCACGGCGGCGGCAGCCTCGGCAACAGGCAGCGACAACGATGCCGCGGGCGGCGGCAGCGGCGGCGGCGGCGAGGACGGTGGTGGTTGCGATGTAGCGTTGGCAGGTTTGCAACTGCTACAGCGAATTCAGTCCGCAGTGGTTTCGGCGCTGCGCGCCGCTCGCCGGGTCGCTCCGTCGCTAGCCGTCAAGGCACCTCAGCTGGCCTGCCATCCGACGATACTGCTGGCGGGCTGTGCCGCCGACGATGCGTTGGCGGTGGCGGCGGCGGCGGCGGCCGGGTCCGCCGGCCGCTGGAAACAGCCGCTACAGCCGCCGGGCCGGCAGCAACCGGGATTCCTGGAAGGGGAAGCGCGGGCAGTGCTGGCGGCGGCGAGCAAGCTCGCCGCTGCGACGTCAGCGACTGTCGTACCGCAGCTGCTGCAGCACGGCGGCTCGCGTGTAGCGCTGGCGGCGACGTCGCACCTTTGTCGAGCTGTGCTACAGCCGCATCCTGAGCTGCAGTCGGGTCTGCTGCTGCCGCTGGTTCACCTGGTGGCGTTTTCCTCCTGGACTGAACGAGTGGACCTGACAAGTGAGTGAGGGACGTGTTAATTGACAGCGGGTTATGGTTGTACGACTTTTTTTTTGCGTTTTTAATATTTTTGGTTTGCTTGAATGCCTTGCTACCCATAAGGTTTTATATATGTTTGTTTATAATATCTATCAATATACTGTATAATGTAATGCATTTCCCCCTCTCCAATGTACATATGTACACTCTACAATATATCATCTGGCCACCTTTGACCATAATTATTTGTCTCCCTTAGCCTCATCTCTTTTTGTGATATTCGTTCCATCACCCAGGTCTTCTAAGTCGCAAATTCGAGCCCCATCAGGCGTTGCCTGCGCGAAGCGCCGTATGTGCCTGGCTGGAGAAATTGACCGGGTGAGCTGTTTAACACAACGACTATCTGCTTCTTTGCCTGCAACTGGATCCCAAATCCTAGATATCTATGTGTTTTTTTCGTTCAAAACGCCAATGATCCACATTGTAAGGCCGTGACTTCGCTACAAACGCTGTACCCGAATTGTCACGTGCCCTCTGCCTGAAGTCCCCGGTACGAGTCCTTCTTGGAGCTTTTCATGACCGCTCTGTTGCGAGCCGCCTGCGGATGCCGCCGGGGTGCGATGCCGCCGGGGATGGCGGTGACGAGGATGGCGCAACCGGCGGCGGCTCAACGGCAACAGCAGCAACGGCAGACATGGCGGCGCGGCCCCGCCGCTGCTGCCGTACAGCCGTCTGGCATGCCGTCTCTGCCAAGTTTAGGTGGTGCTGCGATGGCTCAGGACTGCTCTTTTTTGTTGGGGCGGGAGGCGAGCCAGAGCAGCACCCTCAACGCCATGAAGGTAATGATAATGGCTAAAAAAACGGCGCGGCGTGTGCGTGACGATGAAGTGTTTGTCTGTCTGTCTGTCTGTTTGCCTGTCTGTTTATTCCGATGGGTTCGAATATGAGGAAATGGTAGTGGAGACGGGCTTTTGGTTAGGTGGCAACGTCGGATTCGCGATCAACGGAGGGGCTGTTTGGAGCCTAACCAGGCATCAGGCAGGGGGAGTTAAGTCACAACTACTTAAGTAGCATCCATTACCCTACATACATACGCACATATACACACCCCTCGCGGCTTAGTTCATTACACACACACGCGTACCCTTCCCCGGTGCTGCTGATCGTCTGGTCACAGACTCGTTGGGGTCGTTTCCCACAAGCCCTAACTCCCTTTTCCCCCCTTCCCCGCCCTTTCCTCCCCTTCCCCCTCTTTCCCGCCCTTCCCCCCTACAGGTGGCGCTGTGGCAAACCATCTGTCTGCTGGCAAGGAGGCTGCCAACGGCCGCAGTGGGTACGTTTTGTCGTACAATACGACATTTATTCGTATAACTTAATGTTCTCGCATGCTAGTTTGCTACTGCTTCTACTCTTGCTATGTTGCTACTGCTTCTACTGCTTCTACTGTTGCTACTGTTGCTACTGCTGCTGGTCGTTGGTCCAGCAGCTCCCAGACACATACCTGCTAACCCCTCCAGGTCCCCAACCTGGCAGCTGCTCACCTCCCCCACGTCCGTACCTCTCGGCCCCTCCCCAACTCCGGCCCCTCCGCATGACCCTCTCGCCGTCACCCCGCAGGCGGCGCCGCACGTGCCATTTGGCGGTGTCTGGAGCACCCCCACCACCACTCCAACATAAGGCCCTTCATGCAGCAAGCCCTGCTGGCCCTCCTGGACCGTTGGCCCGAGGGAACGGTGGAGCTGCTACTGCCGGCACTGAGGCGGTACGACACCGCCAGCTACCAGGTGCTAGAGGGGATGTATGTATGTATGTGTGTATGTATTCATGTATGTGTATCCTTTTCTCTGTGTGCGTGTACGCGTGTTTGTATGTATGCGGGGGAAACATCCATCTCTGCTGCGTCTAATCGCAGCAGCAGCAGTCGTCGTGTCACACGCAAATCTAGGATATCTTGGTGCGCGTGGGCTGCAGGTCTTTGGTACGGCAGGCCGTACATCGTAATAATGAAGTGAAGATGTGCCGATATAGGTCGATTACCATTTTGGATTGGAAGAGGCCAAAGATAGAGAAGCAAACAGAAAGCGCACACAATAATGAGTAGTGAGTGTGTATACTTATGTATGTATATGTATGTTTTTAGAGGAATGCGCCGCGTGTGTGTTTTTGATGGACTGAGCCGCGACGTGTGCGTGCGTATGTATGCGTGTATGCATGTATGCCCATTTATGTACATATATGTCACTGCAGGTTTGCGTGTCGCTTGTGATCATCGGTTCGTTGCTATTGCGGCGCCAGGCGACCTCCCAGCCCGAGGGGCCACTGACGCAGCCGCTGCTGACCGCGCTCATGCCCTGGGCCCTACACCACCGACATGCGGTGCGCGTGCCGGTGCAGGTCGGTGGCTGGGGGTGGGTGGGTGGGTGGGTGAGTGGGTAGTGCGGGGGTATGGTACTGGATGGACCGGGTTTTGGAGGGCCGGGGGGGGCCAATGTGGGTGTGGATGGATGGGGCGGTGTGTGGGACGCAGGTGGGACTTGGAAAGGTATACAGCTCATACAGGATGGTACATGGAGGGTGTGTATGTAGGGGGGTGTAGGGGGGTTAAAGGGGGTGGGGGGTTTACGGAGGACAGCAGCACGCACCCCCTTGCTGCTCTACCACCAACGCCAATGACTCGTCTGCCTTTTGGACACGGGAACACATCGACTTGCCGTACTTCCGACTGCAGACCGTGCTCCGCTTGGTTCTGGAGCAACATCATTGCCTGGCGCCGGCACCATCAGTATCGCAATCACCGTCACCACCGGCCGAGTCGTACACACCTCAACCACCTCAACCGAAACAACAACTGCAACAACTATTACAGCCACCTCAACCGGCGCCGTGTCTTTACGAGCTGTTGGACGGCGTGCGGGTTTTCCTGTCCAGCAATCCCGAGCAAGCGGCCCTTTGCAGCCGACAGGCGCTGGTGGATTTCGGCCGCTTCGATTTGGAACATGAATGTTCGCTTCAAGGGCTCTTCGGAGTGAGTGTACGGCACTGCTGTATACCGTCCGACGTAACCATTTACTACCTGCTGTCGTCTGGCCTATCTGTCTCTCTCTGTCGTCGAAGTCCCGACGTTAGACGGACGACGCTAGTCGTTCCGTCGTCGGGACGGAGACCTTACCCCAGCTTTTTGTCTGTCTGTCTGTCTGTCTGTCTGTCTGTCTGTCTGTCTGGTGGTCACGGGGGACCAAGTTTCTTCGAAGTGTGCGCCCCTTGTCCGCGGCTGTCCACCCACTCTTCCCGCCGCCGTGCAACTCTCCCTCGGCGCCATAATCATCGTCGTACTCTGTCGTACAAGATCCGAGAAGAGGTCCTCGCGGCAGCGGCGGCGGCGGGCGAAGCCGTGGAGGTAGGTAGGAAAACGGGGAGGTTGGGGGCGGGTAGGGAGGTTGGACGAGAAAGTTTCCAGTTTGCACCGGAGACCTCCCACAAAAATAAAAACCCTGCATGAACACACATGCACACATAGTTTTGATGCTCAGTTTTACTAACAACAAATGTACACGCCGACACCTCTACATGCCCTACGCCTCCTGTACATACATACATACATACATACATACATACATACATACATACATACATACATACATACATACATACATACATACATACATACATACATACATACATACATACATACATACATACATACATACATACATACATACATACATACATACATACATACATACATACATACATACATACATACATACATAGTGTTCTCTTTCACACAAGCACGTGACAAACGTACGTGCAGGTCGAGCCCGGCTACCCATCCCCCTGGGCCCTACATATCCGAGACAGACTACCCATCGACGTACTGAGAGCTCTACCGGCTGTGGTCAGATCCATAGGAGCCAGCAGCCGGAAAAGCGGAGCTGCCCCCGCCGCCGCCGCCGCCACCTCTGGTCGCACCACCAGTGCTGCTGCCGCCAGTACCACTACAGCCGGACATGACTTGCATGACGATGACGAGGTTGCGGAGAAGGAGCATGAAGAGGAGGACGACGAAGAGGAATCTCGTTCTCGGGGTAATGAGGGTGAGGAGGAGGTTCAGGAGCTGGAGGGCGACGGCAGCGAGTCGGGTGACGCAGACGCGGGAATGGGTCGATTGGGATCTGCCGTGGCGACGGCAGCTGGAACCGCCGCCGCAGCCGCCGCCGCCGCCAGCACGATAGCTCGTAGCTACCAGCTGAGACCGCAGATGTTTGGGAGTGTCAGTGCTGTTGGAGGCGGCGGCGGAGGCGGTAGTACTGCGGTGGTGATGACGACGGTGGCGGAGCGGCTGGACGCGCTGGCGGCGGAGGCGGCGACAGCGGCTGCGCGACCCACGGGTCTTATTGTTGTGGCGAGTCTGCTGGAGAATGTGCCCAACATGGCGGGTCTGTGCAGGTATACGGAGGAGTGCTGTACGGTAATGGCGGGGTTGGTGGTGATGTGGGTGATGATGATGACGATGATGATGACGAAGATTGTTGGAGAATCAAAATACTAGAGACCCATAACACGTCGTACATTTCCTGAAATGTACATGTCGTTTCACGTCGTACACTTTGTACCTTTGTTACGTCATGTCGTACGCCTTCAGGACGTGTGAGAGTCTGGGTTGTGAGGCTCTGGTGCTGCCCTCCCGGGCCGTGGTGGCCAGCGAAGCTTTCAAGCGCCAGGTAAGTCATGCTCTGTACGGATGGTTGTACGGCAGGCTTGAATTCGGGTTTTTTTAATCACAAACCGATTAAAAATGTTTGCGCCATTACGTCATCCAAATATCCAAAACATCCCGATGGGTGCTTCCCCCTTCGACACGTACCTTCTAATCATGTTGGCCCGTACTTAAACACGCGGACATCGACGACATACGGCATACGTACGTACTTACGTACATACACACGCACAGGCAGTCACTAGCGAGCGTTGGCTACCGCTCGTGGAGGTGAGTCCGCGCGACCTGGCCGCGTACCTGCGGGAGGTGCGCGGCAGGGGCTACCTCCTGATAGGGGTGGAGCAGGCGGCCGGCAGCGTGCCTTTACAGACCTTCACCTTCCCGCAGCGCTGCCTGCTGCTCCTGGGCAACGAGCAGAGCGGCGTGCCTCAGCACCTGATCGCGATGCTGGTGCGCGTGTGCACGTGTGTACGTGTGTACGTCTGTATGTGTGTACATCTGTATGTGTGTACGTTTGTATGTGGGGTTTGGGTTTGCGTTGGGGTTGGGTTCTGGTGGGGTTGGGGCTTGAAGTGGAGTGTTACCACGCCGCTGTGCTTGTGTTACCATGTCGGCTTTCTCGTTAGGGGATTTTCTCAACGTGTTTTTCATATGGAATATCCAGGTTGCCCTTGCTTCAACCCGCCGACCTTTGAATCCCATCCCGCCCAGGACAAGTGTGTCGAGATTCCCATGCTGGGTGTCACTCGCTCCCTCAATGCGCACGTCAGCGGCGCCATGGCGGTCTGGCAATACGTACAGCAGCAGCAGCAGCAGCAGCAACAACAACAACAATAGCGGTAATAGCGGCATTAAGAAATCCAATCGCAAGAGCTGCTGGAGCTTTCATTATAGGAGCTGCTGGATGACAGAGGAAGAAAGTACAACATGCAGCAGTAAGGAAGCAGTAGCAGCAATAGCAGCAGCAGTAGCAGCAGCACCACCACCACTAGCACTCGCAGCAACAGCCATCCGGTCACCCAAATGAAAGAAACACCAACAGGCCACATTATCATTTGCAACTATGTATACTGCTCCTGCCGATGAAGCTCTTTCCGGCCTCCTGCATATGAATGAATACTGCTGGTGTTACTGCTGGTGGTGCTGGTGTTGCTACGACAGAAATTCGAAAACCTGGAAGCTGAAGTCGTCTCTTTCCCTTCCGTCACCATGCGGTTGCTGCTCGGTGCCGCTGCTGGAGCTGCGGCGGCTTCTCATCCACCTCCCGAGATTGCCGTTTCGATTGTCCGTGTCAGCAGCCCTGCCTTGCCTTGCCTTGTGTCACCTTGCCTTATCAGGCCATGGAAAAGGCGATGGACGTTGGGAATCAACCTGGCACGGGGACTCGAGCTGTGATGCGCTGCGCAGTGTTTAGGTTGTTGCCCAAACGTGACCCAAATGTGGCATTGAAGACGGCTTTTTTCGAGGAGGACGGCACGCAGGCACAGGCGAAAAGTTGTGTTGTGTGACGTTGGAGGAGGTGCTTGTTGTTTGCTGCGATGTTGGATAAGAGCTTGATGAGGATCTTGCCGGTTGTTGCCTATTTGGGGACGGGGGATGCATAACTTATGGGAGATGAGGGGGCGACAGGTTAGGCACATCATGAGCATCATCTTGGTCGGGACTAGGTTTTAGTAGCAAGCAACAAACCGGGGTGCTGCGCGACGGCTTCGCGGCGCACGGCATGTCCGAGCATGTCCTGCAGAGCTGCGCTAAGCAATCTGTTTGAAGAACTAAGACGCGAGCAGGAACTGGCGAAGGTGGCACATGGAAGCATCTGGGCAACATCAGAAAGAAAGTAGTCAAAGGAGGATACTGAAGCTCTTGGAGGTCGCCCATGGTCCGGAAATGCATGTGGATGGATTTCGAATGAAGGGATTGTTTGTTCCGTCCAAAGAGGAACCTTTTTGGGGAACTATTGCATAGCGATGGGCCCAGAGGTTCCATGGCGGGCGTATACACGATTTGCACGAAATGGCGATCCTTCTTCCCAGGGCGATCCTTTTGTGGGGCAGACTGGTTTTCAGTAGCGCGTCTGCTGATCAGCCACATCAATTGCTTGTTTACTTGACAGAAGATCTCGAATTACATAAAAGCATACTGTGACTAGGTGAATCAGAGGTTGCATTGTAATCTAGAGCTACGAAGCTGTCATCCTAGGTTTCGCCGTACATGTTTATGGGAGCTCATAGGACACGGAATGCTTGCGGGTATAGCAGCTTGACCTGTGATAATACTTTTCTTCTCATTACCCATCCCTGTTACGGGAACTCGCAAAGGCATAGCAGTACCACCACGAAAGCAGTGCACAACAGCCCTGTTGACCAAATCGTTTCTTTCCGGGCGTTACGGACTCCCTTTTTGGCGGTGCCATTCTGTATTATTATAACATTTAGCTTCACAAGGGCAGAGATTCAGCCGGTCGGGCTGGACATAGCTTCACTGGTCCGCGCAGGATGGCAAGGATACCGGGGCGTCCTGATTACGACGCCCTGATAAAGCTGCTGCTCGTTGGCGATAGCGGTATGACTGGAACGCTACCGTCTCAACCGGCAACTGGCACAGGCCTCCTCGCACGATGGAGCCTCCTCAAATTTCTGCGCAGGAGTGGGGAAGTCATGTCTCTTATTACGTTTTACAGATGACATGTTTACATCATCCTTTATAACAACAATAGGGTGAGCGCCACCTGACAGAAGCTAACTAGTCATGGACTCTGGACCTCACAAACCTCCCTGACATCTTACAGCATCGACTTCAAAATAAAAAAGGTGGACGTAGACGGGAAGCTTGTCAAGCTGCAGATTTGGGACACCGCAGGCCAGGAGCGGTTCAGGACCATAACCAGCGGTAGGTAAAACAGGAGGCCATGCCTTAACCGCGATCCCACGAGGGCGCACCTTTCCTTGGCCCCATTCCGGACCGCTTGTTTCATCTCGCGACCTGGGAAGCTAAGCCACACGTTTGCTTCACCCGGTTGGACGCAACCGCACAGCGTACTACAGAGGGGCTCAGGGAATCATCCTCGTGTACGACATCACGGACGAGGCGTCCTTCAATAACGTAAGGAACTGGATGCGAAACATCGAGCAGCACGCGTCCGACAATGTTAACAAGGTGGGGAGGGAATTATGGGTTGGTGATGAACCAGCTGTACATAACGTAATTCCTCCGAAACATCCCGTCCTGGTGCAACGGCAACCGTATATACAACGGCAACGGCAACCGTATACATAACGGCAACTGACAACAACCAGGACGCAAACTGATCAGGATGATGACGGAGTTCCCCCTCCTTATATCCTACGTTTGGAGCTGTTGCACTATTGGAGCTTTGGCGAGGCCGTGGCAGCGAGCCACCGCAGCACCCCAGTGCACAGACCGGACCAAGCTAGGCCATGCCCTAGGAGCCCTAGGTGCTGTTCGTCCTTTTACCACGTCACGCACGTACATCCCCTTTGCCCAATGCCGGGACCTCATGCTGCGTTCGTCTGTACTCCCTTCTGTCGCTTCCCATCATTCCTCGGTTACACGCGTGTACGTTTCCCCTGCGCGTTTCCCTCCTAATACCCTCAACGCCCCTCTTTTAGCAAGGCATGAACCATCATCCAATGCCCTGTATGATGTGCATCTATCATTACAAATTGCCCCATATGCCGTGCATCTTCCTCATCCCTACCACCGCTGTGCCACTTACCGGCCAACGCAACATCTCCCAATGTTCACGATTATGGGTTCTCCATCTTTTCCCCAAAGTCCCCCCCTTCCCCCCAAGTTTCCCTCACCGCATCACGTGTTTTGCACGCGTATTCCCCCCCCCCGCTTCTACGTCAAAAAAAATTTTCTCGCCGCCTTCACTACTTTTTCTACACCTACTAGTTTACGGTTTGGCTATATTATTTCTGGCGGCTTAGGTAGGTAGGACTTCCCACTTCTACGTCAAATCTTCATCCCGAGGTTACAGTCGTCATCCCGAGGTTACAGTCGTCACAGTCGCCACGGACGCCTCTCGGTCAGTTCTTTCGGTTGCTACTTTCTTACCCTGGCAGCAGCTTAAATCGCGTGTGGTTCGTCTTTCCCCCCCGCCCCCCGAACCGTACCGCCCTAACTCAGATTCTGGTGGGCAACAAGTTGGACCTGGCAGAGGACAAGCGAGTGGTCTCAATTGCCCGGGGCCAAGCTCTGGCAGACGAGTTTGGGTTCCGCTTCTACGAGACATCCGCAAAAGACAACGTGCACGTGGAGGAGGTGCGTATGGCTGGCGGTGCTGGAGAGGGCCCGACTGGGCAGCCGAGGGGGGGAAAGACGAACCACGTGAACGAGTGAAGCTGCTGCCAGGGCAAGAGTGTACCAAACGTAGAACTGACCGAAAGGCAGCCGAGGGTGGGTAGGACCCAGGAACGTCAAGAGCTTTATCTTTCTTGGATGTCGTGGCTCTTAAGATAACGGCTTGGACACGGATGGTGTTCCTGTCGTGCATTGTGTGGGGGACGTGTTGGCAGGGCTGATGGTTGCTGTGATGTAAAGTAAAAGTTGAGTGTCGTGAGGGCCGTAACTTTGTTGTTTGTATGAAAGAATATAAGTTTCCGTGACCTGACACCTGATACTTGACCTGACTGCCCGGACTGGGCGGGACCTGCAGGCCTTCATCGCGGTGGCCAAGGACGTTCTGGCCCGTATGGAGGGCGAGCACGCCAATCAGCAACTCCTGCAGCAACAGCAACTCTCCGCGGCACAGCCGGTGCGGCTTACGTCGGGCAGCCCCAGCCCCGCGCAGGGGAAATCCTGTTGCCGATAGCGGCGCTGCCATTCGGGGACCACGCACCGCGGTCGCCTGGCCTGGCCGGGGTTGTGTTATCGGCAGCGGTCCGTCACGGTGCCTGATGGCGAAGCTGTATGATGGCCCCCTGGGCAACTGTCGCTTAAAATCGCAGCTGCTGTATCTGCCTGTGTGCCAGGGGGCTAGGCTGGGGGGGGGGGCTGGGGTGGCTGCAGCGCTATCCTCAGGATCAGAGCTGAAGACCTTATGGTCTCAGGATTGGGCTTGCGGCGCGTCGTACCTCAAGTGGGTTATATCTCAAGTTCAGACCTGGGCTTAGGATGTCGGTTGGCCACGCAAGGAGAGGTCCCCGGTGCCCTAGGAGGGCGAGAGGGCGCGTGTGAGGGAGAGAGGGAAGAGGCTTGCGGGACCGGCCACATTAGAGAGCACCACCTCTCCGACGGCTCTCTCCGACGGGCCCCTGACCGCCGTCGGGGTGCACTCGGGGCTCAGATTCAGTGGGGCAGCGGCTCTCTTGCTGGCAGTACTCTTCCCCCGTTTAGTAGAGCTGCTCCTTTGCCGTAGGATGTAATGTAGGGGGCAGACATGTACGGAGAAGGAGCGTTTCTAGGGCGCGCATTGCTGTTGCTGAGGCGAGTCCGAGGGCGACGCACAGCGGATCCAGGGCTGTTGGCTAAGGCGCTGGCTGGCTAACTGGGCCTTATGCCAAGGGGTTTTCGTGGATCGTTTTCGCAGCAACCGTGGGAGAGGCAGCCCGGCATCATTAACACCAGGGTGGGGTCAATCGAAGGGCGGTTGGAGGATACAGCTGCGGCCGGCGAGGTGCAGGGCTGGACAGGGGTTTCGTGGGAGGCGGGAACGTGTGTGTGGTGGTGGGGGGGAGGAGGCCGGGGTGGAAATGAAGAAGGGGCTTTGGGGTGCGCTACTCCATGTCAAAACACACACGCACGTGCACTCGCATGCTAACCGGGTTGAGCTTTCATGCACGGGCAAAGTGGGGATGAATGTCATATGGCAGCAAAGCAAGAGCCAAGGACAAGCCGTATGCAACTGTTGCAGCATTAGCTGGTGCAGTAGCTGCGGCTGCTGCATCCAAACCGCAGGCATAGGAGCCTTGTATAGTATATCGCTTATGTAGGGATGCATAACGGTATTATATACCGGGACACCGGGATTACCTGCATATGGGCGTCAAGAGGGCATATATCGGAACAACTCTTACTCAGCACTGTGCCATGTTGTGTCTGTGAATCTTATAAAAGGATTCCTTCGTCGCGAACGATTCCGGAGAGGACTTGTGGCAATAGCGGAACGACATATATGTGCGTGGCGTTGCGTTGTTACCCTCTCCAAACTTGGATGTTGTGTCAGGCCGTACATGGGAGTCATGAGATATCCAGGCAAGAGCACCGGACAGGGGCGGACCGACGGAACCAGTTATGGGATTTCCGGGGGGTTTGTGCGGGGGAGAGGGGGATGGGGTGTAGGCTGGGAGGTGGGGTATGTCCAGTTTGTGTGGCTAAACGGAACGGGCTTTCTTGGGTAGGGTGATGGGCTCAGGTAGGGTGGGATTGGATGGGTTGAAAACCCGCGGCCCAAGCGCTTTAGACAGCTGATGATGGTTGCGATGATGGTGAACACGGCGCATGGGGGGGCCAGAAAGGGAAGAAAGCGATGACATACAAGCTCCGGTAGCCTGAGGGGATCGTGGGCGCTGTGCTTAGCAACACCGCGGGCCGGTGTTAGCAACACCGCCAACTCGTCCATGTCAGGGCCACCAGCAGGGGGATGCGGGCATCGCTGCACGAAAAGAGATGGACGCTGAGGCGCGGCGCCTTGCTTTTGGTTTGTGTTGTTGTCGTCCTTTTGCTGTAGGATTCCGTCGCGTTGTGGCCCGAAATGCGGGGGTTCCCTCAGACACGGGGTGACCTGGCATTGCATGGTACAATAGCCTGTAGCAGTATGGGGGCTGGGGCCTTGGTCCATCATATCGACGCAAACGCAGCCAGGGGTAAGTACGGCAATGTGATAACGGCACGTGCGGAGATGCGCTGGCGGGAGAGGTCGGTTATGTGGCGGGGGGCCCGTATGTGCTCACGTGCGTGTGTGTATGTGTGTGTGTGTGTGTATGGGGGGCTGAGGGATGGGGAGGTACCGGGCCCTTTGCTTGCAGCTGGCGTGCGGCATCTCGGACTTGCAGAGCGGTAGGACTGCGGGGCCAAAGCGGTTACGACGGCCTGGTGGTCGCGTGGGGGCAGGTGTGGCAGGGCTTTGGGTCTTCATCCATCCACCTTGCATGATACATTCCACCAACCCCCAATTAAGGTTCCGTTTGGCTTTGTCCTTTAATATATCATCCATCGCCAATATGTAATAGACAGATAAGCCATATGTGCGTTTGCTTCAAGGGTGAAGTTACGGGGGTGCTAATAGTGGTGGTGGGGGTGGTGATGTGGTGACGTTTGGTTGCGTTGGGTAGCTGCGGCAGGACCCAAGAAGATAGCTGTGCGGGACAGACGTTCGCAACGGCGCGTAGGAAGGAAGTACTTAGGGTCTCAGGTACCTAGGATTTACGGAGGGGCCCCCCTTTTATGCGACTTGTTTTTTTGCCCTACGGTCGGTGTCCTAGGGGATTTTAGGAACATCAGATCGTACGCTTAGGATTTTCACTGTGGGAACCCTCTGTTGAGAGCCCACTGTAACGAGACTCATTTCTCTTTCCTTGTTTATGTACGGTAATGGCATACACTGCGCATTAGTTGAGAACAGTGGGGAAGGGAAAGGCGAGTTTTCTCATCTGAAAAGAATGGATTCTTTTAGGGGCAGCTATTGGGATAACTCTTGGGCCTCGTTTCGTATCAGCCGGTGTCCAAATCAAGGGTGCTTGGGAGCGGGAACCCGATCAACTGTTTCATACATCCATCTGCCGTGGCGCTAGCTGTGCACTCGTGTGTGTTTGCGCGTATGTGCATGAAAGTGTGCCCCTTTGAAGGAAGCCTTTTATTTCGTGTGAAGGAGCACGTGCGTTTCGTGGGGTGCGTGCAGTGGGTTTGTTGAACCGCTGGACGTGCAATGCCCTCTGCCTACAGTAAAGGGAAAGTTGGGTGCGAAATCAGCAGATGGATCAAGGGAAGAGACGCGCAAGTCGGGTTGTGGGTCATCCCGGAACAGCCCATCTTCTCGGCGAAGTTGTTGGATTAGGATTGCTTACATGTGGTTTCACAAGGTAGGCTATTATTGAAATGCCGCTAATGTAAATAATTGTTAATCGGCTATGCCCTTTATTCGTCGGTGATGGCTCCGGTCGTTGTTGTCCAACTGTTTTCACAGCTTCTCAGATTACGTAATCCTGTCCTTGCGTGCAGTCAGGCACTCTTCAAATAATGAGATAAGAACGCCATATGTATTTGCATTTGTATGCCGCTGGCTCCTCCCTGACACTCACGACACACAGACTCGCGACACTCCGCATTTTCGGAACCTCTCCAAACAGGCTCGATGGCAGCCCCTTTGAGACTAGGGTGAATTTGACAAAACGCGAAATGTAAACATTCCATCGTCGGGTCGCAAGCATTATAACTAGAGTCTAATTATTAGACGCAATGAAGCCATCCCCCGACTTAAAGCTTCTGAATTGTAACGAACTGCTTATCATAGGCTTGCTGTTTTAGAAGCTTTGCTCCTGTTCTTCGTACTGCCGTATTTTTTGATGCATAATCCATCGTACAAAATTACATTTTGGCAGTGCTTGACGGTTGGCCTTGCTTGAATTGTCCGATTTGCGATCAATGCGCCAAGCACTTACACGCGAGGAGCAGCTGAAACTTTAAAAGTTACATTAAATAACCCTCTTCGTTCCGGCTTGTTCTTGCACGTTGTGGATTGTATAGAGGCTATGGCCGACGCAGCCATGGCTTCAATGCCTTTGGTTGGGACTGCGGTTGGAGGGCTACCAACAGGTGGCCTTGAGGCGCTGAAATATGCTGCACAAGCGGACATGTTCCAAGACGACCCCAATTTCTACACATGGCTCGAGGACTGGATTGGTAAGCAATAAATGTCGACGTGCTAGTCCGGCGGTTGACTAGTGTTCCATTAAGCAACGACGTATTCCATTCAACAACGATATTGCAACTTTGACATCGCTGTTGGATTGTATGGTATGCAGGAAAGGGGGATGAAGAAAGTAATATGATGGATGCCTTCAACACCCTCACAGACTATGGCATGCAGTTCGAGTTCCAGGTAAGGCTCAAGCAGCTTGGACCCTTGCATGCGACGCAAAATGTTTCCAAGCTAAAGCTTCGGATCCCATTCAGCTCGTTGAGTTTCGTCCCTCACGCTGCTAACTGCTTTCCGGGTCCGTCATCCTCGCGCACTTGACCTCCGCAATCACCAGCAGCAACAGCAACAACAGCAGCAGCAAGAGGTATCGGAGCTTTCTTCTGACGCTCGGCTCACTGAGGATACTGGCGCTATCCCTTCCGGTCGAGACGCTATAATTTCAACCCAGCCGCAGCCGCAGCAACAACAAGCACACTTTGAAGTCGCCAGTGGGGTCGCCTCCTCATGCGCATCTTTGGCCTCGCATCCCTCCAGTCAACCCAGCGACTCCTCCAGCCGCGTAGGCTTCGCCTCCCCCTCCCCCTCCTCCTTGGCCACGCAGAGCTACGGGCAGCAGTTCCTCGCCTCCTTCGCCGCCGGCTCACCATCCCCTTTCCTCACCCCTGGCCCAACTGATTTCACGGCCGCAGCGGCCGCCACCACCGCCGTCGGCGGCGGCGCCGCTGGCCCCTTTGACTTGTCTTCCTTTTCCTTGCCGCTCACCCGCGGCCTAGACGCCCTGGGGCCCCCCCTGGAGTTCGGCGCCCTGCTGGGCCGGCCGCTCCCTACCTCCGGCCACCCTGCGGGAAGCATCTCCGACATCCCCAGCCACGGCACCGTCACGTCGTACATTGGCACCCCGCCGTCGGCTGCGTCGGCGGGCGTTGTTGCAGGCAACCTGGCTGGCGCCGAGGGTGCAGGAGGCGGCTTCAGTGGCGGCGGCCGCGGAGTGCATGTCCTCAGCATCCCGTCTCTAGGCCAGTTGATCGCTCGGGCCATCTGCGGTAATGGCATCGGCGGCGCCGCCAAGCCAGGGCGCAACGCCGGCAGCGGCGGTGGCGGCGGCAGCCTGAGCCTGGCAGTCCTTGGAGGCTTTAACGACAGCGGCGGCGGCGGTGATGAGCCAAGGTTTCCGTCGGCCAGCGGCGGCGGTGGCGGCGGTGGCACCGGACGAGGCAGTGGCAGCGGCGCGTCAATTTTTGTACGGAACAGCAGCGGCAGCTTCGGGGGCGGCGGCGGATCGGCGGATTGTAGCATGAACAGGGACTCTCCTTCTGGCTCGGGCAGGCCCAGCACGTTAGACAAGGACCTGGAGATGTACCAGGCCTACCTCAACTCGCACCAACAGCACCAACACACGCCGCAGTCGTACCAGCTTCCAAACACTTGCGACGGCGCTGGCGGCACCGCCGGCGTACGGCACCACGGGTCGCGTCACAAGACCAGCATCGCCTCCGCATCCTCCGGCCCAGCTCACGTATTCTCGCACGGCCGCGCCTCATCTTCGCACCATCACCATCATCACGGCATTCCAGTAGCACACAACCATGCCGGCCACACGCATGTAGGGAAAGCCGTGGCGGCGACGTCAGGCGGCGGCGCCGCCGGCTGCGGGGCGCGCGGCGCCGTCGGCGGCTTGAGCGCCAGCGGCAAACCCACACGAAGCGCCCGAGCTAAGGCCGTCTTCGCGGCGCTGGAGGCCGAGGTGGCGGGCAAGCTAAGCGAACTGGAGGCGCTCCAACACGAGAACGCGACGCTGACGCAGCGTGTTGAAATCTTGGAGGTGGCCGTGGAGCGTCAGAGTGCCGTACTCAGCATAATGTCCTCCGCTGCGGCGACGATGGGCAGAGTGGCTGCCGTTGGTAGCGTCACGGCGGCGGCGGCGGCGGCGGCGGCAGCGCCGCCGCCGAATGGTGGAGCACAGAATGGTGGGCCGGCGGGCGGCGGGGTGTTGGCGATCACCAGCCCGGAGCTGCTGGATTGGTCTCGCACTTGCACTTTGGAGATGTATGTGTCCTGGTACAAGGAACATCTACAGGTGCGCGTGTCCGTGTGTGCGCGTGTCCGTGTGTGCGCGTGTCCGTGTGTGTGAGTGTGTGTGTGAGTGTGTGTGTGTGTGTGTGAGTGCTACAAAATATAGCGAAATTACGTCGTCTACACCTGGAAAAGGAAGGGGGGGTGCTCGCTTCGATCCCACTTGGCCGCACCGTGTGTGTTTGTGTTAGTGTATGCTTGTCTGTCGCCACAATTCGTATGTTCCCTAACCTGTTCATGGGGACGACGACAGGCACTTCCGTACCCGCTCCCTACCTACCTGCTATCTGCTGCTACCTATTTCCTGAGTCCTCTTTGAGTGTACGGCAATACTCGGCACCGAATTATGCCGTACTGTGCTGTACTGCAGGAGGTGTCCCTAGCACTCTTAGCTACGGAGAATTCGGCAACCAACCCCGAAGCGGAAATGCGGCTGGTGCAGGTACGAGTGGAGGAGGAAGGGGGGAGGATGAGAGGGAAGAGGAGGGGAGAAGAGGAGGGGGGAAGGGGAGGGGGGAAGGGGAGGGGGGAAGGGGAGGGGGGAAGGGGAGGGGGGAAGGGGAGGGGGGAAGGGGGGAGGGGGGAGGGGGAGGAGGAAAGGGGTAAAGAAGTCGTTTAATATCGAGATTCCCAATGTCCCTATCTACTATCTAGCGAATCCAGCGAATCCACAGCCAAGGGAACGGAGCTTTGGACCCACATTTCCCCCCCCCTCCCCCCTTCCTCCCGCTCCTCCCCCTTAGGGAGCTCTTGTACCCGTCTCCCCGCTCCCTTCCTCCCCGCTCCCTCCTCCCCGCCCCTTTCCGCCCCCTGCCTCTCACCTCTCTCTTCCCATTACACACACACACACACACACACACACACACACACACACACACGCTTCGACGGTCGTTCCCGTTGGGTTAAGGTTGCGCGGCCAGCGCCCTGGTCAGCGTCATGCCGGATCGATATGCAACAGGCACACACACATACACACATACACACCTCACCGAAGGCCAAGGGGAAAACCACCTCCCTGCCCAGCTCCTCCCGCTTTCGCCCCCGCCCTGTACCCTCCAACCCCCCTCCCCCTCCTCACCCGCCCCCTCTCCCCCCAACAAATACACACACACACACTCCCTCTCTCAGCTGGTGGCGTCGGCCTGGCTCCGCTCGTCCCTGGTTTGCATCTTCCAGCCCCTCACACAGCTAAGACTGAAGGGTCTCAATTTGGAAACCAACACGTACTCGGAGCCTTCGGAGCAGCACTGGATGGAGGTCATCAAGTGGGTTAGACCTTGTTAATAGGAAGCTAATGAAACCCTAGTCGGTCATCAGCCGACTGAGGCTGTAGTTCAGAAATGAACGGAGACTTTAGGCTTACGGACGTATGTATGTGTGTACGTATGTATGTGTGTATGTATGTGTGTGTATGTATGTATATGAGTGTGTGTGGAGCGGGATAGGGGATATCCGGACGCATTTCAGTTGTCAGTGGTAGTGTGTTTTACCGCCGTGACACATAGGGCCCACATAGCCCCCGGTTGCGGACATAATGATATACAGACATATTAGGGTTATGAAACCACAAAATAAACCATAAATGGCCGTACAGGTGCTGTTGCTGCTGTGGGTCTTCTTTTTCCTCTTCTTCTCACACGCTTGCCTAATGAGGACACACACCACTAGCTAGCTAGAATCCCCCTACCTGGCCCATTTGCCCGTCGTTTACCCCCACCCACTTGTCGAACCCATTTCCCCTCTTAACGCGTGCATACATACACACACACGTACACACAACACACACGCTCTCTTACACAAAACACACAGGTTTATGACCGTTAGTCCCGTTCCCCTCCGCTTGATTTAAGACCCCCTCAACAACCCCCCTTCCCCCCCTTCCTTCCCCCCGTCGCCCCGCCTCTCGCTCCCGCCGCCCCGCAACACACATACATACGCGTACATGGGTACAACATGCACGAAACACACACGCACGCGCAGGTTTATGACTGTGAGCCCCCAGCAGATCGCCGAGATGGACAACCTCTTCCATTCGTACAACCTGCTGCACGGCTCCTTCCGTGCCGAGCTTCAAGACACGCAGCGAGAGCTGGGGGCGCTGGTGGGGGCGCAGGACCAGCAGGCGGATGCCAGTCGGAAGATGTGCTCCGGGGAGGGCCTGACGCTCGTACTGCAGCAGGTGGGTACCCAAGACGTTCTGGCTTCCTTCTTATTCCTATCTTTCTTTCTTTTATATGTATGTATGTATATTTGTTTTGCGCGCATCCCTCGCTTCATTCATGCGCAGCCGGAATGTAGTTTATTTTTTGAAAATGCATAATGCAAACTATTTATTAAAGTTATGTGTCAGCGTTTGGGTCTTATTTTGGCGTGAGGAGGCGGTGTTGTGTTGAGTTGTGTTGGTTCCTTTCCTGGGCCTGGTGGCGTTGCCCAGCTTGGCTGTGTATGTATGTATGTATGTATGTATGTATGTATGTATGTGCCCACCCACTTCCTGAGCCAACCTCTATGCTGGTCCTGTCGCTGCTGTTGTTGTTGGTGGTGGTGGTGATGGTGATGGTAGTGCTGAAACCGGGTGTGTATGCGTATGTATGTATGTATGTATGTATGTATGTATGTATGTATGTATGTATGTATGTATGTATGTATGTATGTATGTATGTATGTATGTGTGCATGTGTCCGTTATCCCTCCTCATATTCCCCTCCCTCCCTTCCTCTTCCCCCCACACTCTCCCCCCCTCCTCCCCCCCTCCTCCCCCCGCGCAGACGGCGCTGCTGAAACGCGTTCGCAACATCCTCCAGAAGACCCACCTGCTGTACAGCTCCACCATCGGGGTGGCGGCCATGAGGATTCTCAAACCCAAGGAGTGAGTCCAGGGAGGGGGGCCGCGCGGGTTGGGAAAGCACACAGGAATTCAGACAGGTATGTACGGACACATACATACATACATACAGCACACGGAAAGGATGGGAGAAGATGGGGGGAAGGTAAGAGGGTTTTAAGGTGTAAAAAGAAGGGGGCGCACAAACCGCATGTGCACTGCAACATGATTGATACAGGCTGGAAGCATCATCAACAACATCATCATCATCATCATCATCATCATCATAAACAAATAAACAAATAAACAACAAAACATTTATCATCATCAGCATCAGCATCCGCTGCTGCCGCTTTTTCAATGGCTACAACCCGCTACAGCCGCTCAACCCCTCTCCCCCGGCGGACCCCAAACCTCGACGCGTCGACTGCCCCGCAGGTTTGCCAAGTGCTCCGTACAGTCGTACCCGTACTATCCTTGCGGTCCGTCCCTTATGAGGGCATGCACTCAGATGAGGTCCATGGCCGGGATCTGGGGGGCAGCCGCAGTGGGCTGTGCCTGCTGATCTTAGCTTGGTGAGGCGAGGCGAGGTGAGGTTAGCGAACCTCTGATCTCAGCTTGGTGAGGTGAGGTGAGGTTAGAGAACCTCTGATCATAGCTTGGTGAGGTTAGAGAATCATCTTCGGCGTCTTGGTTAGTAAACGGGGGAGAGGCAGGTGGGAAGAGTTCCGACGTTCGGAATTCCGACGTGGCGAGAGAGCCAACCAACCTTGCTTGTGTGTCGTCGTACTGCATGTGCATGTGCAAATTCCGTGGGCGGTTGGTTCTCGTGTTTTGGTTTCGCAAAGATTGTGACCCTTGTCGTGCGGCACGTACGGGTCCATGTACGGCACGTTTCGTTTTTTTCGTTCTTGTCGAAAGAATGTTTTCTGAGGCGGCGGCGAGCTATTTTGCGGGATCCGTCTTCTGTGGGAAGTGCGAGTCCAGGGGGGGATTATATGCAACAGGGAAACAGGGGGAGGGCTCGGGTGGGGGCGTGGTGAACATGGCTCTTGAATGATGAATACGGGGATTGTGGTACGGTGGGTGGATGTGTATTGGGTTTTGTCGGGTTAGTTGGTTAGTTTGTTGGTTGACTTGGCACCAAATGGTATTCTGGACGTTGCATTCTGTTTTGTCGGTTCTCTGTCCTGAAGGGAAGCGCCTGGAAGGGGCATGTTAGGATCGCGACTTAGGAGAGTCGAGCCCGAAGCCAAAACGGACAGATAGGTGTATACGGTACGGAAAGGCGGATGTACGTACGGAGGGACAGGGGGCTGCTTTCGCATGTGAGCAGTGGTTGACAAGCAGTGCGCATGTGTACGTGTAAAAGAAGTTTGAAAGAAGGGCTTAGGGCAGCAGGAGGTCCGAAAAAATTGTTCGGAGGAGGAGCAGTACGGCACCTGGTGTGGAGATGGGGAGACAAACGGTATGTACGGACTGTATACGGCGGTTTGTACGGGCGGGGGTCCATGTACTGCATACCTGGTGTTTGGCAAGGAGTTCGTCTGTCTGTTGTTGGAAGAGTTGACGGATGAGGCGGGATGATGGGGGAAGGGGGATAGAGGCGGGGGCCTATGCTGGTAGGTGCCCGCGTGCAAGCAGCCGACGTGCGGCCAGGACCTGAAAGTAGTTGTTAGTTGGTTTGTTAGTTTGTTGGTTGCAGGCAGGATGTGGAGAGGTGCTGTTTCACGGGTCATCCCCATTCGCACCACAAACTGCAGATCGCTTTGCATCCTGCATTGCATATTTTGCCGTATTGCCGTATGCTTGGCGTGTGTTCCGCTTTCTTCACCTTTCTTGTCGCGGCTTCGGTTCCCTTTTAGGGGATGAGCGTCACATCACTAGCATTAGCAGCATTAGCAGCAGCAGCAGCAGCAGTGCCGGTAGCAGCAGCACTAGCGGTACTAGCGGGCACCTCGCGGGGGTGTCCGGTGTTGCTTAGAATTGAACTCTCGGTCGCTTCCTGGTGCTGGTGGTGGTGCTCGTGTTGGAAGTTCGAAGAGGAAAGCACGTAGCACGTATTACCCCGTTAGTTAGTTACTCCCGTTTCTTGTTGCTTTGGTGTTGCATAGCACACGGCAACATGGCGTGCATCGTGCGTGCATCGTTGTGCTTTATTGCGGTCGGCCGGTTGGTCGGTCACATGTTTTGCTGTACTGTTTACCGGGTGGTGTTCAAAAAGGCCAAAAAGCTTTTTTCCATGTTCATCATCCTGGTTTGTGTGTATTCAGTAAATCATCCATTTTAAATTTTCCGCCAGCATCCAGAACACATGCTTGCAGCAAAAAACAGCTGCCACAGCAGCACCTGCGGTGAAGTCCGGGCCTGGCCCGCCACCTCGGCCGTTGTTGGGCTTTGGAAGAAGGTTTCGCTCTTTGCTCTTTTTAGATGGTGTGTGTGTGGGGGCAGGTATGGGATAGCGAGGCATGCTGATCGGGACATCGCCCCTCTCCTGTGATGTGTGCTTGAGCCGTAGGAAAGGGGCGATGTACGGATTTCCCGGATGGTTTAAAAAATGCCTGAGCTTGTCTGTGTCTGAGCTATGATTGCCGCTTGGCGGAAAAAGCTGTCACGTACTCGTTATTTGTACGACGGAGTCCGAAATGAACCATAATCGTAAAATGGAACGTGCATGTATGTGTTTGACCGGGTTGCCTGTACGGGGGGCCCCTTGTACGTGTTGGCTGTACGGGGAGAGCCATCTCTCGGCCCGTCTTCTCGTCGCGCACTGTAGCAGAATCGGCAACTCGTAGTGTATCGTAACAGGAGATTTAGTAGTGGGCCTGATTTTTAATGGGGGCATTCTCCAGAGGCGGCGCGTATGGGCTGCGAAATGCACCATTTGTCATGCCTCTGGTCGTTTCGGTGCGTGTGGCTTCCGTATATGTATGCATGCATGCATGTATGTATGTATGTGTTTTGACATGTGTGACTCTCTGCCTGTGTACCTGTGTGCATTAACGGGGCCGTCGGGGTTACGGGACCCCAACGAGCCGCAATGCCGCACCGTGTCATCCCCCGGCCTCAGTGTCCATGGCTTTTAGCGGACGAGTGGTCAAGGATGATGATGAGGTTGCCGTTTCGTTATCCGTGTTCCGTCGCAGCTTCCTTTCCCGTTGCGTGGTGGAAATGCTTATTTGGCCGGGCGTCGCTTTGGCTCGCGTTGGCCAACTTTGTGTGTGTGTGTGTGTGTGTGTGTGTGTGTGTGTGTGTGTGTGTGTTTGTGTGTGTTATGGAGGGCCCATGTTGATGTGCCTACCGAATATAATAGCTTCCCTTTGCTCGTCCCTTATCCCGAGCTCCAAGAGCCCTCCGTCCTGTTGCGAAACCTGAAACGTCTGCATATAAAATAAAATATCCAATGCATCCATCCGATGTTATCAGGTTGCGCGTGTTTTAAAACCTTTTCGGAATCTTTTTCTGGATCCCGATCCAAGCTGGATCTCTACTTTGTGGTCTGACAACATTCATCATACAGCGACCATATTGAGTTTTGTGTTTCGCTGCAGTGTATTTCTGTAAGTAACTCCGAGTTGGGGGACCTAAATCCCGGTAGCTGCTTTCCTAGCAGCCAACTGAAAAAAAAAACCGCTCTTCTCGAGGTTCAGGTTGGTGACGACATCAGGCCCCAGTATGTCCTTAAGTGATGTTACAGCGCATCCCAAGAGTTACCCCCTTGAGACGAAATCAATCAGGTGTGTGGGGAGGTGTGTGGGGTTTCGTGTGTGTTCCCCTTCGGGGAGACGAAGGGATGTGGGATTTCGTGGGCGGGGTTTCAGGAACACGCTCCTGGCAGCCGGATGAAGATGTACTTCAACTGGCGGATGGCGGTGATGGTACTTAGACCCCTTAAGTGGACCGACAGCACAGCCCCGCATAACAACCAGCCAGCCAAACTGGCACTGTAGTGGTGAAGTAAGCGACTGGCTTTGAATTAACTACTAGTTCACTGCTGCGGCCGCACTATAGGCGCAGGCCCCATGGCCTTGACTTTGCATGACCTCTGGGCAGAGGTTGCCCCCACACAACGTATATAAGTACACTATCCCTTGGCGAGTAGCACCACTGGCCGGGCGGCCGCCGCGCCGCCAGCCACTTGCAAACACATGGCAGCACATATCCCATCCAGTCGCCAGCTGCTGCTGCTGCTGCTGCTGCTGCTGTAGTAAAAGTTGTTGCGGGCAAAAGGGTGGCAGTCATATTGTCCTTGGTGGCTCCCCTCTTCGGGTTGTGTATGTGAGGGTTACTTTGTAACCACGCTTTTCCGGAGGGGAAAGAAACATTCGCCTCCGGTCAACATCGCTGCGCTGCTCCAAATTGCTTCCTATGGACAATGATACCATCCGAGATCCAGTATTTGCCGTTTCAAACTTCCCCCTTCCTCATTTACATGCAATGGTGCTATACGCCGAAACCTAATCTACCTGTCGTTCTGCATTAGCTATAGCAGTCTTATTGGATTTTGCCGTGCCGTGGTGATATGCCCCTTTCCGGGGCTAATGAGTGACGGTACGTGCATATAAATGGATGCCGCTGCGCTGTAGCAGCGTGAAGAGCCCCCACAGCAGTAGCAGCCCCACACAACCTTCGCTTTTGTAGCAAACAACCAATCCTGCACATGCACCGTCGGTGTGGTGGCTGTGCACGACGAGGCGCGACTGCAAGGCGGTACAATGTGACAAAACTGCGCAACAAACACGAAATTGAGAAAGCGATGGGGATGTTTGCACGTAGCAGTACGACTGCTGGGATAACAGCGAAAAATGTTCGGCATGACATCGAAAAAAATGACAACTGTGGCCAACGGTTACATCCAGCAAAGCAGAAGCAGAAGGCAACTGGCGGCATTATCAGAAAAGGCCTGCCATGCCTACTGAACAGCCAAGGAGTTCACCAAAGCATGCTGCACCACCCTTCCCAACCACGCCAATGCCATCGTCAACAGGCGCCGCATCCCAAGTCCAGCGGCAGCTAGGTGTGGCTCTAATGACCCACGGGTCGCCAGATGCACCTGATGCCCACGTGCGTGTTCGTACAAACTGCTCTGTACTGCATGTGATGGAAGCGGTAGCCTGGATTTATGTGGTAGCGGTAGACCCCTGACATTGTCGAGATCGTGATACTATGGCTAGCTGCTGAGATATGGAGTTGTGGTGACAGTTGATGGACCAAGATTCGCACGCTAGATTGGTGGCGATTGCTGAACCCTCTCTCTCTCTCTCTCTCTCTCTCTTTCTCTCTCTTCGGATGTTCGGGTGACTGGATGAGGAAAGATTCTAAATGGCAGGAAGGAAACCGCCTTGGACTTTCAGTTAGTATGGTGTAGTACAGTGTGATAATGGTGTATGGTGCTCTGTGGTGTTCAGAATTCTAGATCAATTAATGTGCGAGATCGGCCTATAAGCCTTCCACCCTGTAACACACACGAAATGTGGTGGTGGTACGGGATTGGTAGAGAGTAGTAGTGTTGCGGGTCTTTCTAAGACCTGACGGAGGATGGGCGGACATGTTTCGTGTGTGCTCGTGTTTGTGTGTGTGTGTGTGTGTCCGTGTTCGTGTGTGTGTATGTGTGTGTATGTGTGTGTGTATGTGTGTGTGTATGTGTGTGTGTGTCTGTGTGCTTTGCGAGGTTTGCGAGCGTCACGTTTTATTTAAGGCCGCTGTGCCGCCGCTTTTCCCAAGGAGGGACGAAAGCCCGCGGGAGCACAAGGTGGGCATTGGGGGTGTCAAGAGGAGGAGGATCTCAAAGGCGATGACCGAGATCCGCTTGTGATCGTTTTGGTGTGTGAGGTGGGGGAGATCTGGAGGGTGGTGTATGTAGTTGGCGGTTGGCGCACCGCGAGGAGATGTTGGTTGGATTGGAAAGCACCACGTCCTTCTGCGGTTGAGACCCGAACTAGGCGCCTGCGTGCAGGGTCCCCGGAGGGACCCCTGACGGTGTTTTCTTTCTCTCTTTTGCGATCTCAAGCTATGAGAGTGTGCGAGGAGGCTGGCCAGGCGAAGTGAGATATTTTGGTTAGGGACTTTTAAAGTGTGTGGCGCCTCTCGTGCGGCTCTCGCTTAATTTGCAGTCTTAGCGTTTTCTGCACCGCTGGGTCGCCTAGCCAGGGGGACTGGGAGAGCGCCCCGGCTGGCGTGCATGAAGGAACAGACTGATGCAGCCATGCACCCACTTCTGTGCTGTGCTCCAATCTGGTCAGGGCCCTCGGGGTGCTCGTCTTTTCTCAGGGCAAGTCGCCCACAGCGTAACAACACCCCGTCAACATAACACCAACGACATCAAAAGCCGACTCAAATAGTTAGCCACTAGCAAGACAATAAGGACGCATTAACCTGCTTCGGCAGGGTGACCAACTCGTGCACGGATACCGTCTTGTCTGTGCAAAGTCCTCACGAAGACGGCCACTCATCTAGCACTTGTGTAGGGTGCAGAACCATGATGTGGGAAACAACTTGCCTGCAAACAGAGATAATAACTTCACTCTGAATACACTCTGGATACACTTTTGAATTGCAATCGAGTGCTGTGAAAGACCCAGTTAATTAACAGACACCGAGAAGGGATGCTGTTCTGTCCTGAGCCCGAACAGGTGGCCGACATTTACCTTCTGGTGCTTGCATCAAAGATCATCGCAACGTAGCACCAAGATACCAGTACAAGCAGCACATCACCGGGCTTGAGGACCTGCGGGAAGGGCAGGGGCAGGGAAGGAAGAAGATGGTGATGATGATGATGATGATGATGATGATGATGATGATGATGATGATGATGATGATGATGATGATGATGATGATGATGATGATGATGATGATGATGATGATGATGATGAGGGACGCAAGGATAAGGGTCCTAGCTGCAGCAGCAGCAGTAGCTGCACAGAGCAGCTGTAGAAGGTTGCCGAAAAGTAGCACAACACCCGAAGAGCCTACGTCGTCCTGCCATCAGCCTTAACTCAGTCTTACAGAGGCAACCCTTTCCCCCCATAACCCCCTGGGGTCCTCGCATGGCATGATGTCCTTCCACCTCTTCACCCCGGTCTGCCCTCCGGTAGGGCGGTGTCCGCCTCGCTGTGTGCCCCTCCGCCTTGCAGCCCCAGTTTCAAGCGGACAGATAACGAGATGCAAACAGGAGGCCCCATGCAATTCAAAACCCTAAGTCAGCATGTCATGTGTTAAAAATCGTGTCATGCCAAACATGCAATTCACATCGACGGTACGACACAGTACGACAGATATGCTGACCACAACAAGCATTAAGTTAACGACAACGATGCATCAATAGTCACTGAAATGCCGTACCCTTACATGAGGTATTTCCTTTGGTGGTCGCATCATCCCGAGGGCAACGCACGGGGGCGTGAGACCGCGCTCTACCTCGGGCTGCATTACGGGCACCTGCAGCATTTCACTGCCTACGCGAAGCAACTGTTAGCAGCTGGGAAGCGAGCCGCATTTGGCCTTGCCACAATGTGCCGACAATAAAAATGTTACTGTGCTTAAAGCTTGTTGTATGGGACCTCTACAACACACTTGTCGACCCGTCTTATCGTACAGGTGCGGGCTGCCGACTTCATCTCACTTCAAGCTCATGTTCACATGAGTGTCAAAGTGAGCTTCGAAAGCGCTATGACTAACCCTATGGTCGGAGAAACAACGTGCATCCATAAGTGCACGAAATCCCAACATGACCTGTCTCTACCATGGGCTGTCTCTGCTATAACTGCAGTTGCATTGGGCTGACCTTGTTATCAGGTTTTGGGACTGCATGGTGATGCGCCCCGGGACAAAGCGCTACCGAGTAAATTCATTGGGCTGGAGGTTGAGGGTATCAATGATTGTTGGGGTCAGGAAAGGTCCTTGCCTTCCTGGCCAGTGTGAGTAGTTGTAAGAGTTGGTATTACAGCGAGCCCCAGACCCCAAGGGAACAACCCCGGGTAGAGGGTAGGGCCATCGCGAGCCACAACGGATAGTGAACTGCAGTACTGGGAAATCTAAGATGGAAACGCACACCTAGGCCTTGAACAGCAATACAGCTTACCCCGAAGCTCGAGAGACTCTGTACAGGGTCCTTTGCCTGCCCACCACTCAAAAGAGGGCAAATAGCCTGAAGGGCACCCCAAGAAGCAGCAGGAGGTATTAGTTCCCCAGAGTAAGGCGCTACCATGCTTCCCCACAGTAAGGCGCTACCATGCTTCCCCACAGTAAGGCGCTACCATGCTTCCGTATTTTCAATTTCCCAAAAACACAAATTCGATCAAAGACGCCGAAATGAACTAGATATAAGGCTCCCGGTATCTGCAGGAATGGGTTGTGTCTTAGGTGAAAAGTATCTCATATGATTAACTGATGATAGTCTAAAAGAGTTCTCTAAGCAGCTCGATACGCGATACAAGAGTGGACATGTGCTAATACCCTAAAGCTGACCCACGGGGTTGTTATCGCCACCGGAGTCACCAGGATTAAGGATATGAGGGGGGCCTCCAGCACTGCTGCCTGTCACCTGCCACCAGCAGCCCCATCTAGGATCCCTTGCAGACCTGCCTAAGCAACATGGGTCGGACATGTCTGCAGCTGCAGACATGCTGCTTAACACTGCCGCAGGAAGAAAGCCCCACAAAGCAGCACTGCTACCATATGCTTCTTCCCACGTCCAAAAACACCACTAGCTGCTACTAGAGCCCAGGAAGCCTCCACAGCGGCATAGCTCACACCCATGCCAGCACTTATCAGACTCTCCTCTGCACCGTTGCTGCCTGCAGGGATCTGCACAGGACCACCTTTCTAGCGGCTGCACAGCTGCCCCTGCGCACCACTTCAGTAAACACAACAAGCTTTTCTGGCTGCACGTTCGCGGCTCTGCAAGTCTCACCCTGAACTGCAATCACTCTTGGCCCAGCAGCTGTTCAGAGCTGAGTACCTGGGCCAACAAATGGAGGGCTGCCTGGCTAGCCGGGCTGCCAGCCCACAGGATGCCACAGGCGCCTGTTCCTCACCAGGTGTTTCGGTAGCTGCCATGCAGCGCCACCACCATCATCATGACAACTACTGCGGGGATATCAATAAGACCCAAAACCTGCAAATAGCTACACAACTCGTCTGCTTCACCTCTCCTAATGCTCGCCAGGTTGAGCTCCCGCTACCCTACAGGTTGCTCCCTCGCAGCGCAGCCATTCATGGTCCAGCAACAGCTTAGCGCTGCTTGTCTGGCTTTTGGCGGGCGTGGTGAGTGTCTCAATGAAAGCCCTACCCTCCACAGACACCACCAGGGGTCTACACACCCTACGCACGATGGCCCCGAGCTGAAAGAGATCTGATGCGAACGTGTAGCGGCCCTCCACCAGTGTACACTCCTCCTGCCAACCCGCGGGGAAGAACTCAGGAGGCGGCACATTGTCCGTTGGAACACATGTCTCCAGGTCGAGTAGAAACCAGCGCCTACCGTTGAGGGTGCATGCAGTGTTGTCCAGGCGCAGATCCCGATGTACGAAGCCAGCCTGCAGACAGAGGTGGCCAGTGGCCACACTACTTGAACATTATTACACAGGGGGCACACCAAGAAACACCAACAGCAGCAACCTGCAGCCGGTAAAGCTTGATTGGCTTTGCTATCCTGTCCTCTTCCCACTGTCCTGAAGCCCCTCCTCACCTGGTGAATGGCGTTCAGTCCATGCAGCAAGCCGTGCACCATGTGCCGGGCCTCATCCTCCGTGCTCGGCAGTGCTTTCATGTAATTCATGCCCACCGGGATGAGGTCCACGATGTACTTGTCGCCTTCTAGAGTCAGGGTGTCGTCCAGGGGGTGGACAACACCAGGACAAGACCGGGTGGCGTGGTATAGCCTTTGCAAGCCAGTTATTGTAACCCCGCACCAGCTAGTGTAGCGACCCCACGGAGAGATACATTTCCGGACCGCCAACTTGTCTGTCCGGAAGTACCTGCGAGGGGAAAATGCCGCGAATTGTGTCGCTACTACACCACACATCTACAGCGCTAAATCAGCTGCAAAGTCACTGAGCAGCATGGCCAGAAGCAAGACACTTGGTATGACACATGGAATGGGCAGTGATATACACATAAGTATATATACATACATATATGTACCTTTGCTGTAAGCCCGAGGCACGCCTTGGCAGTTCAGCTTACCATTAAACCATACATCTGCACAGTGCCCCAATATCACAGAAGTTTTATAAGAACGGATACAAGCCTATGGGTCCTGGCCAAGTTGTAGGCAATTACACCCTGGCTCACAGTTAGGGCTGGAAATTACGGTTACGGTATTTACGGTGTTGTGCATTACACCGTAAGCAATTATGGTGACCCCCAAAAAACACCGTAAAATTACGGTTCTTACGGTGTAATGTAATTACGGTTGCCAAAAGGTCAAAATTACGGTCGGACCGTAAGCGTGTGAGCCTATCCCGACGACCACACCTCGAAACATGCCATTTCATCCTTTGGCGGAGCTACGGGATAGTCTTAAAAAGCTTGAAAGGCTCACGATATTAACCTATAATTAAATTATCACAAAAGACAGCCAAAAAATTCTGAATGAGGCGAAAACATTTGAACCATCCTGGGCTGCGAATTGCCGCTACTTCAACAGGATCGCCAGGGGCGTTTCGTCATCATCGGTGCTGGCGTCCTCCTCAGTGCCGTTCTGCTGCTGCGCCTTTACAAACTGAGCCTTCACCCAAGCCTTCTTCTCCGCCTTGCCTGCCATCCTTTCGGCCGGAGCGAGACTGGGAAGTCCGGCCGCAGTCCTGGGCACAGCTCCCAGCAAGGTGCTGCCCTTCATTTGGGCTGAGAAACGCTGCTTGATGGTCAGCGGCTTAGCAGGGGCAGTGTCAGAGCCCGCATTTCGCGGCCAAATACAAGCTTAGGTGCAAGTAACCCTGATAAAACTATGTAAAAAGGTATGAAGTAAGCTTATATATCGTTATGTGAAAGGAAAGAAAGGATTTGGCTCCGACAACGAGGACCGTAAATCGTTACGGTCCACTTTGCCCCGGAAACCACCGTAAACTTCGGTATTTACGGCGTTGCGCATTACACCGTAAGCAATTACGGTCCATTTTTTGGGATTACGGTGTTATTCCCAGCCCTACTCACAGTGCTCGCTCGAATAATCCACGGGGATGCCTCGCGATCAGATCTGTACCAGCCCGGAGAACGTATGCTGGGTACAGCTTACGCTGCGCCTGCAGCAGCTGGTAAAACTTGATGGTCATGACTACTGCATGTGCACGTTCCTCAGCACAAGACAGGTCCAGCACAGGGCTAATGGCGTGTGGTTGTTGTGTCAGCACGCCTCCACGAGGAATGGCAAAAAATTGAAGGTACATCCCAGCAGCCGCGAAGCAGGGCAGGTATGCGATATCACCGTAGTACAAGGGGGTCCACGCCGCATTCTTCATGTGGAGGTCGTTGATGGCAACCAGCAGCTGTCCTGCATTGTCCTCCCATTTTGCTAGCATCACGCGTCCAGTTATGTCCCGCAGAACACCATCCGGCCTCAAAGTGCGCCCATCTTTCGACTTGACTGTCATCAAGGATGTGGGGTCACCTTCATCACGCTGTACGACGAGCCCAAGACGCGCCATTACAGGCATACATTTATCAAGCATCTGGAGTAAACTGACTACCACAATTTGCTCCGCAATCACTGTCCACACTTTAGATGCACCGAATTCCAAGTTGTGGCAAATGCTATCACTGACTGCTAACGCAAGCTTGCCCCTAGCCAAGACGAAGTGCTGTGCAATGCTGGAGCCACGCAGGACGGACAGCGCTTCACCTAACACTGGGATTTTAGCCACTGGCGGTGTGCAGAAAAATTCATAGAGTGCTTCCAGGCGAGGGGCCACGTCCAAAACTGGTAGTAGCAGCTGTTCGCAATATGCCTCTGACATGTCCTCCCCTGCATGTATTGAGATCGGAATTAGCTCAGCAAAATGCACACAAACACGGAATACAGAGGAAACATATGCTTCTTCACACCAGCACAGAGAGTGGATGGCTATGTGCATGGCCCCTGTGTACACAACCCTTACACTGCTGCATGCATCAATAGCCCGTCCAGGTCACTCTGTATGTGAATGCATAGACCGTATTCGTCTCCATGCAATGCTATGACATCGGCTGACCTTTAACCCCATGACCCGTCCAATAAGCTGCACAGCAGTGATTGCTGCATATGCTTGACTGAGCCGCAAGCAGATCCATGCTCATTGAGCGGCCGAATGACCCTAGCGGCATAACTGCATAACGGCCACACTTTCGAATGAATGTGCACCATGGCAAGGATGTGCACCATGGTAACTTAGCAGGTGCACACAATCTAAAAAATCCTTGATACTAGGTGTATGGGGTGGGCTGGCATAATCTGGCATGTTTACCAACAGAAACCCACCAGCGGATGCCATGCTTGCCGCCGCCGCAGCTGGTGCAGCTGCCGCCACCGCGCCTGCACACACAAACGTGGGAGCAGCCGGGGGGCCACATGCGGGTTAGTAATTGTAAGCCGCTGCTGCACCCGCTCGATGCTATGTGTGTAATGTGGGATCAGGTCGGTTGTGAGGAGTGCTTTCATGCAGCGGCGTGATATGGTGTTGCTGCAAGTTGCGGCACTCCCAGCACATCATCTGCAGAGCTCTAGTCTGACAGGGCATCTAGCAAGCAACATTTACCTTAGAATAATTTTAAGCTATTAAAGCTTAATCACAGTAACGGTACGGTCCCGTAGTTACGAACCATACTCGTTAACTGTACGAACTCACTTTCTGTTACGCTATCACAAGCTACGTACAACACCAAGACTCCAGGAATGGAGATGGTGGCAGGTGGGCCGCATTTAAGCCACCCAGGTGAAGTGCTTCGGCCAGACACTTCTGTATCATTATACTAGTGTTCAGGGTTCAAGACCTTGCTGTCACCGTTATCAACGTATGTCTTCGAATCCGGACTTCCCTTGTCTCTTTTCGCGCCTAACGCTGGGTCGTCAATCGTGGACGAGATCCCCCTCTTCCGCTAACAAAACAGCTAAGGTAAGAGATGGCTGTTACACAAATTACCCCTGTGTTTTAGATCCGATATTTAATATATATTCCAGCTGCCTCATGCAGGTACAGCTGCCTGGCTTTATCCCCCTGGTAACACATTACTGCCGTCTCCTATACCACCCAGATCCTGAGTTATCATTACGCGGATATATAGCATCACCCAGAGAGAGGCCGCACCTGCATGTGTAGGAACTAATTCCCAGGGTTTTCCCTAGGTTATTATTATAAAGGAATCAGCCCCCCTTAAATGTCATGGAACCAAATGCGCAAACAAGAGGCAGGATAGCTACATTGGTGCTCCAAGTCTTTCTTGAGTGCAGGTAGTGCAGCGTAGCAAAGAAGCACGTAGCAAAGAAGCAGTGCAGCGTAGCAAAGAAGCACGTGGCATTCTCGTCCAGAACCACTGCGGAAGAAGCCGTGGACTAGTACTTGGCCGTTTAGCATGCACAAAGTCGGCAGGGTATGCACTATTAAAGCCACCAGACTCTTTGCAAACATAACATTGCTCATTGGAACACATTAACGGCCAAAAACTAATGCTGGTCGGTATATCAGGAAGAGCACATGCATCCTGGAATCCCGATATGTGGCGGGTGCAGGTAGAGGCAGGGCGGCTTGCATGTACTGGCAATCTTCATGCAGCATTCTTAACACCCAAGCTAGCTTCTCGCGCAAGTTTGCAAAGGCAAACTGCAAAACCTAAGTTTAGAACTCGCCACCAGCGCCTCGGCGTGCTAGCGAGAAAGGGCGTGAGTCCAGTCTACTCTCAACCACAATGCCTAAGCACCGCAGCACAATGGAAGCACAATGACGGGACACTCAAACGCCCAAATTGGGATGACGCTCCTAGCGGCCTCATGCGCAAAAATCCTACAAGTGCGCTCCTGCAGTGGTGGCTCACAAGGTCTGAACAGGATACGGGCCTAACACTGCTTAAGTACTCGATTGCATACAACGGACCTCGGATCGCGGCCTTTAACGCCAGCTGCTGATCAACAGTGAGGCCTGCTACTTGTTCCGCGTCCAGCTGGCGGAAAGCGCCGCCGACCTCGGCATCCACGTCATAGCCTGATTCCGAAAGAGCAGCAACAATTGGCGAAATGGCGTCCACGGCCCCCACAGAAAGCAGGGCTTGCCGAATGGTCACTATGCCTAGGCAGACCCGGACCCTGTGTGCTGCTAAAACACGCTTCAATTGTTTTGGAGGCTTCAAGGTCGCCAGAGCGTGCGTGGTCATATGCACTGAGTTGCTGTACGGCCTGGTTGATTTAAAATCAATGGTTTTGCGAATTGCATCACAAAAAGCTTCACTGTTAAGCAGAAGTCACAATAAGGTTTACCTAGATTGTTTTACCCAGCTTCCGCGCCTTGCACTTTCTGGGACCGGTAGTTGTTGCAAATGGTCCGACATGAAACACTTTCCTAATTCCTTTCTAGCAATTCCCCTGCCCTGCAATAGCTCGCTTGGTGCACTTTCGTGTGGCTTCCAGAGATGCATATGAATCGGATGCACCCTCCGGTTCCCGAAGCTGCGCCGCGGCGCTGTGTTTCAGCCCGGTCAGGGCCCCCTGTGCTCGTCCTTTCTCAGCGCGAGCTACCCACAGTGTAACACCCCATCAACTGATGCACTGTTAGGGCTATAGGCAATGATGCACTACTAGGGTGCGCTGCTCGGGTCGCGATTTGAAGCGTGACGTGAGCTGAATCATCACGCACGGCCTTTACGTCTCTGCCGTATAAAGCTCTCGCGTGGATCCCTATGCTGTCAAATGATTCCGGCAAGACCAGCAGTGTGCGGAGATGAAAACTAAGCAGCGAATACAGAGCGATCACCTCGTTATACGTTACATAGGTCTGGGATTAGAGCGAGGATAAAAGGCAAGACCCTGCCATAAATACAAAGTGTATCTCGGAAATCCGCTCCAGAACCAGTACAGGTATCCCGCCAAACTACGATATGCAGGAGTTCTGGACGAGATATCAACACTCCCCCGCGGACAGAACTCTGGCACACCCCAGAAGAAAACTCAACGAACTCCCATGCACTCTCGGAATTTCGAAAACTTGACCAAAGCCAACGGCTTCGTCAGCACATCTGCAACCATATCGTGAGAAGGGCAATACTGGAACGATACACTACCCGAACTCTCCTTTTCTCGAACAAAGTGGTGGATCACGTCTATGTGCTTTGACCGCTCTGACGTGATGGGGTTGCGGATCAGGGCTATAGCACCTTGACTATCGTCCTTGATCTCAACGGCCCGTACCTCGTAGCCCAAATCCCTCATCAACTTACGCAACCAAACTGCCTCCCGCGTTGCTGACGCAGCAGCCATGTACTCGGCTTCAACCGACGATGCAGCGACAGTAGGTTGTAGCCTGCTCTTCCAACTTATGGCGCCCCCATTCAGAATAAAGACATAGCCGGTGGTGGATCGCCGACTATCTGGATCACTGGCCCAGTCAGAATCTGCATACCCCACCAAAGACTGCGGACCGCAAAAAACAATACCATACGCTAATGTGCTCTTAACGTACCGCAAGACGGACTTGGCAGCCTCCCAATGTGAAACGGCAGGCTTCGACATAAAACGTGCGAGTTTATAGACAACCTGCGCGATATCAGGCCTTGTACAGACTGCAAGGTACATTAAACCACCAACCAAAGATCGAAACTTGCTAGCGTCCAGCAACAGTTCTTCATCAACGGGCTCCCGCCGCAATACTAATGACGGCTGCATAGGAATAGCCGCGGACTTAGCATCGGCCATATCAAACCTTGCAACCAACTCCGCTGCATACTTCTTTTGCGATATTTTAAGGGTCCCGGCGGTTTTATCACGCATAACCTCCATCCCCAAAAAGAACGAAACCGTGTTGACTTCCGGCCAGAACACTAACGGCTGTACGACAGATAAGATGGAATGTTTGGTATAAAGGAGATGATGTTCTGACTGAAAGCTTGTTCTGTGATACCTGTAACGGTTGAGGTTGGCTTTACCCACACAGTTCCACTCGCCTATATCTTAACAGGTTATGAGCCCCGCGCCGCCGCGGCAAGCGAGCGAGCGTTTTGCTTAAGTACTGTGTCCGAACTTGCTGGCTTAGCAACTCTCTGGCTTAGAGATAGGACAAGTATGGGGAAGGATAATGATGTAGAGCGATTAGATAGCTACGCCAACTATTTTCGCTGGCGGACGGCCATGAAGTACTGTTTGGCCGGCAAGGACTTGTGGGACGAGGCAGCAGACCTGCCGAGCGCCGTCGCCGACAAGTCCATGAAGGCAAAATCGCAGCTGGTGAAATATACGGTGCCCCGTTTTCACAGGCTGATCGATCAAGCAGCCGACTCTGCCGCAGCGTGGGATGCGATCCGCGCCGAATGCGTGTCTGAGATCGGAGCGAACATTTTGTTCATAAAGCAGAAATTTAGCAACCTGAAGCAACGGACAGGCCAGTCCGTTGTTGATTACTTCGAGGAAGCAGAGGATCTGCGCGAGCAAATGGTTGCAGTGGGCTCGAAGACCGACGACTGCCAATTCGCCCTGGCTATCTTGGGTGGTTTGCATAAGAAATTCCAAATGCAGCAG